AGTACTTGTTTTGGATTTTACAGAAGCCCACCCACAGTTAAGAGACTTTTTTTAAAAGAGACTATGGACTTTTAAGTGTTTGGATTCTTTTTTTTTTTAAGGACTGGGGGGCTTTAAAGGTTGTACTGTCTTATGTTGTGATATTAATGTTAACATCATGTCTTGGGGACAAGAATTAGAAAGGTTATGGTTTAATAGTGATATGTTTGTGTGTCAAGGGAGCCTCAACTGGGACTGGCCTGTGGCCATGTCTGTGGAGCATCTTCTTGATTGTTGAGTGATGTGGGAGGGCGTGGGTGATGCTACCCTTGGGCAGGTGGGCCTGTGTTGCATAAGAAAGCAGGCTGAGCAGGGGCCAGGGAACAAGGCAGTAAGCAGCGTTCCTCCATGGCCTCTGCTTCAGCTTCTGCCTCCAGGTTCCTGCCCTGAGTTCCTACCTTGGGCTCCCTGATGAGCTGTGACCTGGGAGATTTAAGCTGAATAAACCCCTTCCTCCCCATGTTAGTATTGGTCAGAGCATTTTGTCATAGCAATGGAGAAACAAACTAGGACAGCCTGGCAGGTGGTTCTGGCTGATAGTGAGCCCTGTGCACCTTGAAAAATTCTCTCTAGAAAGAATAAGCACAAGGCCTTGGACAGAATACACAATGGCTAAGAGCCAGATGCACCAGGCACCTTCCCAAGGGCTGACTCCTTCCAACTTAACAGTGGAATGATGAGGCAGTATATTCTGCTGGCTGCAGGACCAAATCTTAAGGGACATGCCACCTGTTTTACACAGGCTGCACCTATAAGATCATTGGTGATGGAGCAAAGGCAAACACCTGGGTCTTTCTGGGCTATAAGCATGGTGTTCCCATAATGCCATTAGCAGGGAGCCAATATCCTATCTGTGAAATGATTTAATGTGAGAATCATTTCATTTTTTTATGGCTTCAACATTCTAAATCAAGTTGAGCATGATGGCACACACCTTTAATCCCAGCACTTGGGAGGCAGAGACAGGAAGATCTCTGTGAAGTCAAGGCCAGTCTGATCTACAGAGGGAGTTCCAGACAGGCTGGGGCTGCAAAGAGACCCTATCTCAAAAAAAAAAAATCTAATTTAAGGATGTATATGTTCTTTTGACCATCTTGGGCCCTTTGGGTGTCAGGGACTACAGCTTGTGTTGAGGGCGCTTTACTCAGAGTTGGGTGATGCTGGGGTCACAGGTGACTCAGAGGCCAGGTTCTGTCTTTGAGAAGCTGCCCTTTTGAGAAGACATGAAGTTTCTATTGAGGGGGAGGGTAGTCAGAGTTCTGTCAAAAAGAAGAGAGAACGGAGGAAGGCTCCAAAAGCCAAGGCCTAGAGTTGCAAACATGTGAACCCACTCAGTAGCGGGCCTTAAAGTAAATCAGGTCACGAAGGCCCTTAATCTTGTATGTCTGCTGTCTTTATAAGACACACAGATAAAGGGAAGACCATGTGAGAACACAAATATGACTACCTGCTACCTGAGAAGAGAAGCCAGGAGAAATCAAACCCCACTGTAGGCAGTGCCATCCCTAGGCAGGTGGGCCTGGACTATATCAGAAAGGTAGCTGAGCAAGCCAGGGAAAGCAAACCAGTAAGCAGGGTTCCTCTGTGGTCTCTTGTTACAGTTCCTACCTTGGCTTCCCTGGATAATAAACTATAACCTGTACAGTGCAAACCCTTTCCACACCTTCCTGTCAGCACCTTGACCTTGAGCTTCTGGCCTCCAGAACTGTGAGAAATAAATTTCTATTACTTAAGCCACCCAACCTATGGCAGATTGACCAAATGAATATACTCTTTCAAAACTGAAGTTTCACTGATACCAAATAAGGCCAAGGGAATCAAAATTCTCAAAGTGTCCTTCTACCTAGTATGTCTCCCCACTGAGCAGTCCTACCTAGGATGAAGACTTCAGGGATTCTTTTCTCTGTCTCCAAGGATCCCAGACTCAGTTCACCACTTGACACAGGGCAGGCATCATGTGGCTGGTGAAGCAGTGGAATGTAAACCAGCAGCTAGATCTGTATATAGAATCTTTGGTCTGAGAAACAGTCTTCAGACCTGCTGCCCCTGGAGATAAGTGGTGTGGACAGAGACCTGTCTGTAACCAATCTCATGGCTGGTAAATCAGAGAGCACCAGAAAGTAGCTGGACTCTGGGAGGAGATATAGGAGCAGGTCTTAGACTAACATGCAGCCTGAAAGAGTGCCTGCAACCCAGAGGTGGGTTTCTGAGGAAACATACAGGCAGAGAGGGTGGTTTCCTACTAGGGTCTCTACCCTATGAGTGGTGTGAACTCTAGCTTGTTTTCCTTCCCAGTCTACTGAGTCGTCTTCTTCTGAAGCTCCCAATGCTCTGAGAGAAGCTACCTCAGCTTGTGCAGCCATCTTCGTGTCCCTTAACAAGCCCCTGACAAAACAAAGAGTCTATACTAGGTGTCTTTGTGTCACTGGACTCTAACAAGTCCCTGGCCCTCTTGTGCCTCAATTTCCCTGTGTGTCCCACAAACCAGGCAGACTTGGTGAGATGGATGGGACAAGACACATACCTGTTAGGGTTGGGGAAATGAAGCAGCCTTTCGCAGGCGGAGGGGTGACCCTGGGGTGATAGGGTCCCTTCAGGGAGAAACAGGCCCTGGTGGCAAGAAGGGGTGGGACCCTCGGCCAGGTCCAGGTCCAGCAGGTTCTTTTCTGAACAGTGGCCATAGCTCCCGTTCACTAGGGAAAGACAACAGGAAAGAGAAGATGAGTGAGGACAGACACAGGAGAGCTTGGGGAGAGAACAGTGTCAGGCACAGCTGCAACAGAGCACTTGGAACTATATGAGTGTCTCTGCTGTCTCTGATGCTCAAGGACACTTTAATTCCCAGAACCACTCAGCAAGATATGTGATAAAACCCTCAGTTCTCAGGTGCAGATGCTAAGCTCCAGCACTTGAATGGGAAGCATTCAAAGCAAACATTGGATGCTCATGCTGTATGAGACACTATTCTAGGAGCAAGAAACACTGGTGAGCCAGACAAATGCCTGGTGCCTCAAAACTCATAGTTTGTTATCTAGAACTACTTCGGTGATTAGGTAATGCTACACTTGTACTGGCATGGGTGAGCCCAGGGACTGGCAATGTTCCAGACACACATGCTAAGGAGGAAGTGCCTGTCCAACTACATCTGCTGCCACATGGTACCAAAGTCCCATCTGTACTGGTTCCCAAACTGTATCATACTATAGACAGTGTAATTCTTCACCTGTGTCCTGTGGTTCTCTGAAGGCCCAACTATTCTACACTCCACACCCCTGCCCACCTATGGGTTCTGTGAAGGCCCCATTTGAGACTGTACATGGCGAAGGCCTAAAAGCCCCATGTGAACAGCAAGGTCAGGAACCCATAGGAGCCTGGGAAAGGAAAGTACTCTTAAAAGTTATGCATCACTTTAAAACCTATGCCCTACAGATGTAATAAAACATTACTAATGGGCCTAAGTATTCCAGGTACTGTCAATACTGAGCAAGAGAACAGCCACCTCCTAAGCCAAGGACAAAGACAGTCATGAGGCCACATCTGCTACAGAATGCACAGGCCATGGGGTCCTCACTACCTTCTGAGGTGACATGAATGTTCTTATTTCTACTTAGAGAAATCTCTAATCTTCTACTTAGAGAATCTGAGGCTCATGGAAGTTATCTGAGGCTCACAGAATCTGCTTACCCAAGAACATACACTGTCAGTAAGCCTTTGATCTGGGCCTCTGTCTCAAATCTGCCAGACCCAACCCCACACCTTTGTTGCTATGTGATAAGAAGTGGCCTTTTAGAGAGCACCCTCAGTGACTTACCCCTAACCCCAATCGTAGCCCAGCTGAGGTCATCTCTTTAGCATACAGCTATCCCTGTGCTAATACCAGACAGTGCAACTCTCCCTGGCTCAGGACAACATTTTACAGTGTGCATATGAGAAGGCACAGCTCTCAAGGTCCTGGTGGGCAAGGGCTCAAAAGAACATGTGCTCCACACCACTTCCCTGCCAGCAATGGCCTGTCCTGCTGTGAGGAATGCTCACTCCACTGGCCTCGGTTGCTGCCCAGCCAAACTTTCTTGGGCTTATGGTTTAATAACTTGGTTGTTTTTTAATTAAAAAGAAATCCCTGGTAACAAATGTGAATGGCGTAAGTTAATGAGAGAAGGCTGCATCTCATTTAACTCTGTCTTTGCTTGGCTGTCTTCACCCTTTTCTAAATCGTTTCTGCATGCGATTTTATTGTCCCATTGAGGTATACCCTGGGACTCGGCCTCCAAAAACTGTGGGTAATTTTATGACCATTAATGGCATTTGGGGCAGAGAGCATCACAGGGAGCTGTTTCACCATTATCTTTCCCAGAATCCTGGAGGTGAGGGGTGGTTCTGAACTTTATTTGAGGCTATTCTGAGCTCTTTGGGAGCCTCTGGGTCATATGCTTCCTCCTTCATGAATGAGACTGTATGCAGCAGAGGAAGCCAGACCTAGGTGGTGGGGTCTCCCATTTATCCAGCCCTTCTTCCTCAAACATCCCAGTGTTGGCTCCAGAGCAGGCTCACTATAGCCATTTTCCAGATGGAAAAAAAAAGAGCAATGGCTGAAGAGATCAAGGGCCTCTGACCAGACTCAGCGACACAATTCAAACCCAGACCGCTTGGATTTTGAAGCCCAAGTGCTGTCCTGTAGCCCCCAAACAAGTTTTCCCAATCAGGACTCCAATGAGAGTCAGAATAGGCTAACTGGTTTGCCAAGGTCGCACAGAGAGGCCCAAGCTGGGCTGATTAGAAACAGCCAATAGCAACAAGGGATAGATCAATGATTGGGCCTGCTAGCTGTTTCTCTGCTGCGACAGTAAGAGCTTTTCCTACAATAAATAAACAGCAGGCTTTGGGAAGGAGGCTCTGAGGTCAGTTAGCATTGTGGTCCAAGCCCACTCAAGATTCTTTCTCCTATATTCTACCATGCCCTGGGGAAAAGTCTGACCTCTGAACCTGGCAGAGCTGAGCAGCAGAGCTGACAAGTGGCCACACAAGGTTACATAGCAATTGTTGGCACAGCCGGAGTGATAGCCTAGGCCAAACTGCCCTAGGCTGCTTCCCCAAAGGCCAGACATCAAGTCAGAGGCTGTAGTATGTCCCAGAGATACTGCCAACCCTGAAAAAATGTGGGTGCTGCCTGCTATAGGCTGAGGTATAACAGGAAAGATATGAGTGCTGCCTCTTCTCTGTTGGAGTCTGCCTCTCTGTCTGCAGGGCACCATGAGACCCAGAGCAGGCCTGTTCCTGTTCATGCTTGTCTCTAGGAGAGGTCTGATCGTTCCTGGAGAATGGGAAAGGAGGTGTCTATCTACTAAAATAGGAGTGTCCTGACAAGGGCGGACACCCAGGAGCCACATCTCCTTCTGTGTCATGTCACAGGTGCCAAGAGTGGACGCTGTACCCTGGCTTTCCCCATCACATGGAGCCTTGACAATTGGTGAGAAATCCTAGAAGTCAGGACTGGAACTAGCCATGTATTCCATTAATATATGAAGAAATGGCTCAGAGAGGAAAAGGACTTTCTGTGGCTACACAGTACATCCACAGCAGAGCCTAGACTGGCACTTCTGAAGCCAGGTAAGAATCTGGTCTAGTTTCCTGGTCTAGCCTCTGGGCTTTTCTGTCTATGCAATGGTGCTGACACCTACCTGAAAGGGTTATAGTGTCAAGGGAGATGATGAAGAGGGGCTAGGGGCAGGGATTTAACTCATACTTAACACCTGAATAAGGATGATGCCACCTAGTCAGAAATTTTTTTTCTGTAAAAGATAAACTGGTAGAGCTGGGCATGGTGGTGCACAACTTTAATCCCAGCACTCAGGAAGCAGAGGCAGGTGGATCTCTGTGAGTTCAAGGCCAGCCTGGTCTACACAGTGAGTTCCCTGTAGCTGGAGCTACAGGGAGACCCTGTCTTAAACTGGCAGATAACCCAGCAGCTGACTGGGGAATCCAGGTTCTGCCATAGTCACTCCACTCTGTCACTGAACAGAGGCACCAAAACAACATACAAATAGTTGAGTGGGGTTGTATTCCAATAAAACTTTATATGGAAAGACAAATTCCTGGCTCTTGGGCTGTTATGGTTTGAATATAAAATGTCTCTCATAAGCTCATGTATTTGAACACTTGGTTCCAGCTCACAGCATTGTTTTAGGAGACTGTGAAACATTTGGGAAAGGAGGCATGGCTGGTGAGCTTTTCTTTTTGTAAAGGTTTTATTACTATTTAAATTAATTTTTACTTTATGTGTATGAGTGTTTGGCCTGCATGTATATAGGTAACTTTGTGCATGCAATGCCTGCAAAGACCAGAAGAGGCCATATGACACCCCCTGGAACCAGTGTTAAGGATGGTTGTTAGCTGCTATGTGGGAACTAGGGACCAAACCTGGGTCTTCTGAAAGAGCATCCGGTGCTCTTAACTGCTGAGCCATCTCTCTAGGCCCTTTGTTGTCACTATTTATTTTTATTTTATGTGTCTGAGTGTTTGCATGTATGTATGCATACCACACGTGTGCCTGCTGCTCACACAAGTCAAAACAGTATGGAGTTTCCATGTGGGTGCTAGGAACCAAACCTAAGACCTGTACAAGAGCAGCAAGTGCTCTTTACTGCTCAACCATCTCTCCAGATCCATGCTGGCAGGCTTTAATGGTTGTAGTGAAGCCCAGCTTCTGGCCCACGCTCTCTGCTTCTTGTCTGCTGCTTCAGTGTGACTGGCTGTCTCATGCTCCTGCCACTATGGCCCTCTCTGCCACCAGGGACTGAAAACCACAAGCCAAAATAAATCTTTCCTTCCTTAAGTTGCTTCTGTCAGGTATTTTGTCACAGCCACAAGAAAGGCAACTAACGCAGGCTATTTATCAACTACCAAACCTGTTCAGGTGCCAGGGATTTAGAGTCTGAAAGTAAAGCAGGGAGAACTTTATAGGTGGCACTGACAGTGGATATTCAACCACTGAAGACCAGGCAGTCCTGTGGGCATGCAATTGATGGAGGGTGTGGTGGTATGAATGAAAATGTCCCCCATAGGCTCCAAGTATTTGGACATTTTGTCCCCAGTTGGTGGTGCTGTTTTGGGAGGTTTTAGGAGGTGTGGACTTGCTGGAGGAAGTGTGTCACTGGGGGGTGGGGATTTGAGAGTTCTTAAGCCTTGCTAGATTTCCAGTCGTTCTCTGCTTCCTGTGCGTGTCTCAAGATGTGAGTTCTCTGCTTTCTACTCTGGCCACCTCGGCTGCCATGCCTCCAGCCATGATGGATTCTTGCCCCATTGGAACCATTAAGTTCAAACTCTTCCTTCTATAAGTTGCCTTGGTCATGATGTCTTACACAGCAACAGAAAAGAAACTAATACAGAAGACTCCAGCCTGACTCTGGAGCCCTGCAGCCTGGGCTCACCCATCCATTTTTGCACCACTTTGCATTCCCACAATGCTTTGCTGAGGCATATCCTTACCAATCCAGTCACAAGACCTGACCCTCCCACACCCTGGCCTTCAGAGCCCTGTGGAAGTTCTTTTCCTTCAGAATATTCCCTGGTTTCAGTCCTCCATGAGCACCCCTACCACTCAGCTCACAGCAGCCTTGTGACTAGCTGCCCCTCAGGTGCCTCTGTGCACATGGCACAGTCCCATACTTCACGTCTAATTCCTGTCACCAGAACT